CTCCAATTACTGTCAATTCTACCTCAATGCTACACGTAAGGTAGTGTCCAGAACGAGGGACATTCCGACACACGTCCGTCTCCCACGATGTCCCGGCAACGTCATCACGTTGATCGCCCGAGAGACCAGCAACGATCCCGACATGAGGAAATGGACAATGATAGACGTCTTCAAACGGTAAGCGGCTGCTGTAATACGCCCGGCGGACCGAGCCAGCATTCACTGTCAGCCTCGTGGTTAGATAAGCTCATTGGGACATTGGCACTTCTCTGAAGAAGTCCTGGAGAGCTCTGAAGAATCCTTCTAAGAAGATGCCACTGACGAAGTGATTCTGGACACTGGGTAAATCCCCCCAGGCCGACTATACCATTGCCTGCCTTGTCGCTCGTGTGTAGTCAGTTCCATTGCAATAGGTAGGAGATCAAATCAATTGAACCTCTAGAAGCCCGGCCAGCGCTTTGGGGAACTGGAAGGCGAGCTATAATAGAGATATCGCCCCAAGCTGGTAGTTAAAGATCGATTTCGGCCATTTACATGACAACGTTAAACTGTTTTCTTTCACAGAATTGACGACTGAAGGATTAGGTAACAGAGTTTAGGGATCGTAAACCTGTAGATGTGGAGCGACATGAGTCAACGCTTGTGTAAACAGTCAATGAATCGTGTTGATGAAGTGGGTGAAACAGTCACCCAGTAATTAGTCTGACAGATTATGGCAGGTTGATCTCAGCTAGCCTTCACCAGCCACAGCAGTAAAATCCAGGAGTGATGATAATGCTTTGAAAACTCTTGCTTAACATTATATTTTGTAAAATTTTGCATATAACTGACGTCCACCAAGCAGCAAACGGATACAAGTACACAATCATGACGCCTGAAGTGTATTTAGAGCGGATTTAAACTTAGAAAGGAAATGTAATGGACTACATTCCCTTGGTCCATGTACAGTGTAACATAATTGTATAATGTACATGTATGTAATATGGGTCTTATGACCTTGAGAATATTAACTGAACTGAGCTGAAACAAAATAAACACACCTAAAAGTATTTATAGAAAAATAACTCAATGGTTAATTTTATGGTAAAATAACTTAAACATAATCGAATCTGGTAGGCAATCAGAGGTTTCAAATCATAATACTCACATCTAAATTGAAACACCCAATTTACGTATTTTCAATTAAATTCAATTTAATTTCCTTACGAAACCTCAGGATACGCATTCAGTTCCAGATTAAATCAGGTAACATAGCCTTGTATGGCCAACGCAGAGTAAGCATATGCGAAGTGGCCTTTGACCTGGAGCTCCATACAGTGACGGTCGTGTGCTCTGATTACATTAGACACGCATTTAGCCAGAGCTTACACAGATTACATGTAATCGATACACTATGATTACATGTACAATTATATTAGCTGATCGCCACACACCCAATTCATTATGTACAGTGGTAATAATGCAACTGATCATAACAATTGTCAATTAATAATAATCATCATTATCAAAACAAGCTTTTTATCCGCGTCCGACACTCCCTGTTACACATACGGATGTACATGTATATGTTTTATAAAACATCAGCCTGTGTCCCCGTGCCCACACACAGAAGCTGAGGTTATTCCCAATTAGTCCGGATTATAACCTATAATCCTGTGTGTTGTACGATAAATATACTCATGATTTATATCAGTTATAACGCAATTAGTAATGGGTGTATATCAACTTCACATATTGTTAGTCTTTATGTTATACGCCCTCTCGATCTGTAGTTTTATTACAGTGGCCTTTTCGTATCTGGGGATTTGGATGGTCTAGTTTTAAAGCGTTCGCTCGTCACGCTGAAGACCTGGGTTGCAATGTATGAAGACTCACTCACTCACTCACTCACTCACTCACTTCGCATCCCACTAGGTATTTTCGCTATCGCACCTAAACCCTAACTGACGACACTCACACTAGGCCAAATCTTTGTGTATAAACATAACCTACCAGACGTATTTTACTCACGGTTCACCTAATTGGAATCTTGCGAAAAGACTTGATCTCTCACATTACTTTATAAATCATTTCACAAAACCGGTACTTAAAAAAAGACACGCATTTAACTAACATATTTACGCTAGTTTTACATTAAAACTTGGGGACATAAACTCCTTCCTTGTCTGACTCCATCGTTATCTTAGTTGTTGTCAGTATGTTCTTTTGTCAGTATATGACAAATTCATATCGGAATACAGAGAACGAAATTGATTATTCAACGTGAGGTCAGTGACACCAGTTATTAGATTGGGGCGGTGGGGTAGCCTAGTGGTTAAAGCGTTGGCTCGTCACGCCGAAGATCCGGGTTCGAATCCCCACATGGGTACAATGAGTGAAGCCCATTTCTGGTGTCCCCCGCCGTGATGTTGCTGGAATATTGGTAAAAGCGGCGTAAAACCAAACTCAGTCAGTCAGTTATTAGATTACTCTTTCAACTGTTTCTTTTTGTCTGTATATCATATGACGTGAATTAGTGCATGTGTTCATTGATAACGTCCTCTGTCTTTACCATCAGTGAGTGAGTGAGTTGGGTTTTACGCCTCTTTTAGCAATATTCCAGCAATATCACGGCGGGGGGACACCAGAAACGGGCTTCACACATTGTACCCATGTGGAGCATCGAACTCGGAACTTCGCTGTGACGAGCCAACGCTTCAACAACTAGGCTAACCCACCGTTCCCTTTACCGTCAGGTAGCGGTAGTATCGAGATGATTATTTAGATGATATCAATGTCGTGCCTTTTATTTGTGTTTTCATTTGTCTGTTGAACGCCGCACAAATATTCCAACTATATGACGGGGATCTGTTAATAATTGAGTCTGGACCAGCCAATATTGACATGATGAGCGTGGATCCACATAACCTGGATTCGATGACATGCATCAACAAGTCAGCGAGTCTGACTGACAAATCCTGTTAGTTGCCCCTAACACCAAAAATACAAAAAAACAAAGCATGCATTTAAAATAATGTCGCCAACAATAGCCACCGTCATACATGGAGACTCGGGCGTCAAACATCTCTAAATATTTGAAAGAATAATAATACTAATTTATAAAAGGCTGTTATCAAAATGGATATGCTGTATAAAACATTCATAAATCAAGGCTCGTATCAAAGCCTTGCAGACCGTAGAATTCGAGTTAGTCATAAAATGTTGTCATATAATTGCACAGCCATTAGTGTGGTGCTCCTGCACATAACATAACCGGTATTAACACCATCGCCATTAAACATGCAGATGACGCTGCAGCTATGTAAATGTCATGTTTCCATATATAGCTATATTCAAATATATCACGGAGGTGTCTATTTCTGTAGACTCTGTGAAGGTTACATGATGACACTGTTGGAAACACGGGGGACGCGGAATCACAAACACAAGCAAATTACCAGGAGCACGTCACAAGGTAAAGTTTAATATGACGGTAACGTGAATAGCTCTCACTGCATACATGACGTAGGACAACATTTCACAGATCTGCTTTTAGTTGCTGCAAAAATAAACGAGGATATTTACGTCAGAGAATACAGCATATGTTCCTGTTTTGAACATGCTGGGCCTTAATCTGGCATTAATCAGTCTTAAAATACATTTTTATAGTAACAGATATTGCAACTGATTTTGGCTTTCTTAGAATATGTTTTAGAGGCCATTTTAGTCTGACCATTTAAATTCTGTCATATCGTGTAACACATTGAGGTCAGCATATAATCAGCCGAAAACCTGGCGTCAACACCGTTCATATTATGTGGTAAGGGTTGAATGAATGGGATACAGAAAGAAAAAGTGAAAGGATACATACAATCTGACGAAATAATGCCTCTTTCGAAACTTTGTCCAATAAAATCTGAATTTATCCAATTAATGCTGATCCATTGTGACTCCTACTGTGACTATATTTATAGTTTCACTTACTATCTCAATCATTACTTCACTCACCATCTCAATCATTATCTCACTCCGTATCTCACTTACTATCACACTCTCGGTCTCACTATCTCACTTACCATCTCAATCATTACCTCACTCACTATCACACTCTCGGTCTCACTATCACACTTACCATCTCAATCATTACCTCACTCACCATCTCACTCACTATCACACTTTCGGTCTCACTATCTCACTTACCATCTCAATCATTACCTCACTCACCATCTCACTCACTATCACACTCTCGGTCTCACTATCTCACTTACCATCTCAATCATTACCTCCTCACTCACTATCACACTCTCGGTCTCACTATCTCACTTACCATCTCAATCATTACCTCACTCACCATCTCACTCACTATCACACTTTCGGTCTCACTATCTCACTCACCATATCAATCATTACCTCACTCACCATCTCACTCACTATCACACTTTCGGTCTCACTATCTCACTCACCATCTCATTCATTACCTCATCATTACCTCACTCACTATCACACTCTCGGTCTCACTATCTCACTTACCATCTCAATCATTACCTCACTCACTATCACACTCTCGGTCTCACTATCTCACTTACCATCTCAATCATTACCTCACTCACTATCACACTCTCCGTCTCACTATCTCACTTACCATCTCAATCATTATCTCACTCACCATCTCAATCATTACCTCACTCACCATCTCACTCACTATCACATTCTCGGTCTCACTATCTCACTTACCATCTCAATCATTACCTCACTCACTATCACACTCTCGGTCTCACTATCTCACTTAACAGCTCAATCATTATCTCACTCACCATCTCAATCATTACCTCACTCACCATCTCACTCACTATCACACTCTCGGTCTCACAATCTCACTCACCATCAGTCATTATCTCAATCATCATCTCAATCATTATCTCACTCACTATCTCAGTCATTATCTCACTCACCATCTTAATCATTATCCCACTCACTATCACACTCACTGTCACACTCTCGGTCTCACAATCTCACTCACCATCAGTCATTATCTCAATCATCATCTCAGTCATTATCTCACTCACTATCTCAATCATTATCTCAATCATCATCTCAATCATTATCTCACTCACTATCTCACTCACTATCACTTTCCATATATCACGAACTATCACACGCCATAACTCACTCACTACTTCAGACACTGTCACGCTCCCCGTCTTCCTCACCACCTCACTCACTGTCTCACTCACTATCTCACGCACTATCTCACTCCCCGTCTTCCTCACCACCTCACTCACCGTATCACTCACTATCTCACTCACTATCTCACACACTATCACGCTCACCGTCTCACTCACTACTTCAGTCACTGTCTCACTCTCACACTCACCGCCTCACTCACACCGTCTGTCAATATCTCACTGCCTCACTTCCTATCTCACTCACTATAACACTCCCCGTCTTTTCTCACCACCTCACTCATCGTATCACTACTATCTCACTCACTTACTCACTCACTGTTCCTTAAGCACACATTGTTATAACGCACTATGCGAGGTAGACAACCCACACTATCTGACACGGACTGATCGATCCTCGTTGTGATGTTTAGGTGCAGGTTAACTTTCACCGTGGAGCACCTGCATACATCATTCTAGGCAGCATGGCATTTC